CACCGCTCAATGACTTCCAATTCAAGAATTGTTTTTAGGAGTACTTACGTTGTAATGTAGGATTCAAGTATTGAAGTGTTCTGCGTTCACAAAGATAATAATGCGCAGTTTTGGCACACATGATGACATCAGTGATTTGAGCTTGGCCGTTATATTGCCTTGACCTTTCTAATTTCTATGACCTTCCTTATCTATGGCACGATTGGCACACAATCTTGTTGAATACAGTAAAGACAAGACCATGGAGTCACACATAGTCAAATAGGCGCGTCTAAGATGAATGAATTTAACAACACAGGAATACCAGAACTCACAAATGCCCTAACTATGACAGTTGTTCTGCGTGATGAGTCATCACTTGTTCAGTTTATTTAGTTTGTGACGCGAGCCGAAATTTGAGAGGCGAGCAAATGTCGCCGCTCGAGTGAAGTGAATTTTCAATCTGGTATCCAACTGCACTGACAAACAGAGTCCCATAGATGACAGCAGCGCAGCGCTTTAGATTTTAGCTCAACGCAGATCTTTGAAGAGAACATGAGGGATTATGAGGGACATCATGGCCAGATGTTGCAAGTCGGACAGGTTCGAGCACCTCACGCTTGAACAGGTTATGGATATTTATAGTACAAACAGAATATGTGTCATGATAGTAGAAAGTGTGTGTCTGTGTGTTGGTATCGTGATACGTGCTGTACTGTGTGGTACTGGTGTATTCTTGGCTGGGCAAAGACATTTTGTTTCTCTGTTAAGTTATTTTTGGGTGGAAAATTGCACTGCTTCATATTAAAAACTGGCATATTGGTAACCTAATTTAGCCACATGAGCCTACCATGACGATGTCCAAACAGTCAGCACAACTCCGTCTTTGTTCGTGTCCCAGGATGTTTCTATAAATATTGATTTATTAACCAAATTCTACAAAACTTTGAAGAAATGTGCAGAACGGGCCTGCGAAGTTTTGTGGTGTATCAGCAAAGGCATTTTTGTGAACAGTTTAGCCTTTTTTGGTCTCCTCCTCCCGGCGTCCTTGATATCATCACCAACATTACAGGCGGCCATGACCAGCCTTCTTTTATCCTCACACAAAGTCACATGCTGTTTTTATTTCTTTTTTCAGTACCAGTCAAAAGTTTGTCAAACTTTCAAATTCACATGGTCTCAAACACACTAAGAAGTCAAGAAATTCAAACACTTGATTATCCACAACTGTGAAATGAAAGTCATCCCAGGTCATAAAACATCACCATAAACCTGACTGAGAAAATATCAAGCTGTTATCCAGGCAAAAGGTGTCCTACTTTTCTGTTTCTGTTTTGATTAACATTCTTTTGTTCAGCAAATAATTCCATTAATATCTCGTCATAATGTGGGTGACTTAAGTATTATCCTCACCGATTCCGAAATGTCTGTTCAACTTTCCTTTTAATGTACGGCCAAACAGCTGTCGACCTAGTGAGTTTCAGTTTGGTTTATAAAATTCAATTATAGTTTCAGTTAGTTTTCATTTTTTAAAGCCCTCTCGTGTTCATTTTATTTCATTAATGGACAAAGGTTTTTCAATTAGAGTTATTATTTTTTTTCGTTAACTTTAATAACCTGGGCTTACGTGTTTTGTGATTTTGTGGTTTTACTTTTGAGACATATTTTTTGCTCAAATTTGGAGGTTCACCTCGATTTATTTTAGTTTACCTCACTTGTGTAAAGAAATGCCCATGAAAATCCTTAATATATCTGGCGCGTGTGTTTGCATGCGTCAGCCATTTTCATCACCTCAACACATCACCTCCACATGAATGACAGCCAAATATGTGGCTTAACCTGCTGCAGAATCATTTGGTATCTCGTCCTAAGCTTCATTCAGAGCGGATTTGCATCTGCAGGTGACTTCTGGTCCTTTCATTTCCTCAGCCATAATGTTAATCCTTTCTGGATCAGCCATTTAAACACCTTCTGTGCACACAAACTGCGGCTGTCCACATGGAAAGGATGCATAACCAACAGGATAAATCTTTCCTCAAACTTTTGTCAATTCTGTAAATGCCTGTTTCGAAGTGCCCGAAGTCAGCTGCGGAAGGCTGCAACACACCCGTGATCCAAGTGAGGATCAGTCATATAGAAGATGGAGGGATAGATGGTTTTGAATTGCCAAAACATGTGGGATGTGTTTGTGGGTAGCAGAATGGAATGTTCTTGGAAGTTTTGGTGAAAATTTGATTTATTATTGTTTGTATGCAAATATTTGGGTCGCTGGATTGCCTACCCATCAAATGTGGAACTAAAACAACCAAGTATATTTTCTTTTATCTGTCAGTTTCTGAAAATGTGTATGTAAGCGAGATGTTCTGCACATTCTGTGCCCCACTTTTATTGTGACGAAACGATGAGGTAGAAGGTATTATTTGCTCCATACACAGCACTTTGTATACAGCGGTGGTTGATTTAACGTGCTCTATAAATACAGTTGAGTTGAGTTGAGTATCCAGGCTTGGGGAATCATAGAATAGGCCTTTTACATGTACAGCCATGACATCATTAGGATACAAAAAAATGGTAAATGTGTTACTGAAAAAAAAAAAATCAGATTGCAGGTCTATTTTGTAAAAAAAAAAAAAAAAAAAGATTATTATAGCATTGCAATTCTAACTCGGTAAGAGGGTGGTTGATGAAGCAGATAGTTTGTCACACAGTCGCTCAATGGCACACGGTGACTCTACTCACACACTTGTCGCTGTGATATTGTGAGCAAACTGGGTGACTGTTTTTTTTTCCCCAAGGGCGCTCCCTGTATGGCGTGTGCGTGTGTGCGTGCGTGTGCGCGCGCGCGTACGTGTGTATCACGTGAGATGTTATGTTCAGTGAGCATCATACAATTAACTGCACATATTTTATTGGCTTCAACATTTTCTATTAAATTGATTACCTACTTTTTCCGAATGTATATTGACATTAATATGTTGTTTTACATTTAATTGCCAAACAACCAAGATTAAACAGTGTAGTGGGCGTTTTACAACAATGCGAAAAAACTCATAAATGGCTTTAAAATATGATGCTACACCAAAGTCAATGCACAGAGAAACAGGTTCCTCAAGAACCGTATGTACCTTTTGTGCCTCCAAGTGGTAATAGTTGGGATTGCAACTCATTCAACGGGTGCCTGCCTGGGGAAATGGTTGGCTCAGACAGCACAACACGAGGCTACAGGGCATCCAGACTGCCAGAAAATACGAAGAAGAACAAATAGAAGAATCCAAATTCTGAGTCATATTTAAGGCAGCGAATGACAACACTCCAGTTGCTTTTGTGTCTGGCAACAGTGCAAGCTTTAGGTCACTCCATTGGCCCGACCATGGGTGGCCAACTCCTGTCCTTGAGGATTGCTATCTTGCATGTTTTAGATTTTTCCGTCCTCCAACACACCCGATTCAAATGGTTAGAATCATTATCAGGCTTCTGCAGAGCTCGTAGATGAGCTGATCATTTGAATCAGTTATTTTGGAGGAAGAAACACCCAAAACTTGCAGGATAGCGGCCCTGGAAGACCGGAGTTGTCCGCTGACAAAGAAAGTCTAAGTATTGGACAGATACAGGTCGGAGAAGAAAATGATTTTGTGCATTTTTAATTACTCACATTTGGCTCAATTTTATGTCCAAACTCCTCATAGGAAGGTGGAAGACCAAATTTCAACTCAGAATCTCAGAACTGCGGTGTGCAAACCATTGTACAGTAGTACAGTACACAGAAACATCGCTGATTGAAGTCCGTTTTCCAGCAGGGGCCGCTAGAGTGTGATGTAGAAACAGAAATACCTGTATGTGTTTCGAAGATGTAATGTGAACAAAAAACGAAATGAAGGTCTTTGCTTTTCTTGTTACGTCCCACCTTTCATCACACCCTCACTTCCCATAACCTTTATGTGTGGCATCCCCTCATGCTCTTCATCTCTCTCTCTCTCTCTCTCTCTCTCTGTCTTTTTGTCACATGCGTGCACATACTCTTCGGATCTTCTTATTTACAATTCTAGTGTCAATATTTGCATTTGTTTGTTTCTACATCCTATATGTAAATGTGAATGTGATTTTTTTTTTGAGTTACTGTTTCAGTGCGCGTCAATATTTCACTAGTGGTGTTAATGGAAACGGAAAACACGTGATTTAACAGTTAATAGTGTGGGGGGGGACGTGTCGCACACCAGGAAATCTTTATTTGTAATATTATTTTGGTGGCTAGAAGCACACATGGAGTACAGTACTGTTTTTTGTATTCTTTTTAATGACCAGTTGTGAATTTATATAGCAATTCTTGGAATGGTCAACCTGCATGTCACTAGTTGGAATATCTAGGATGAGTCACGTAAAACAAACATTCAAAATGTGAATGATGACACTGGACAACAGCAAAGTTTAATCAGAAATGGCTTTATTTATCCCGAAATGTATTTTTTGAAGCTGATTTTAAAATGTGTTTACTTTTTTCTAATACATCAGGTTTTTTATTTATTTATTTGTTTTTGCTGTTTATTCCTTGTCTCATGTATATAGATAGACCGATAGGTAAATAGACAGATAGATAGATAGTCAATTCATATTATTATTATTGTTATTATTATTATTATTATTATTATTATTATTATTATTATTAGAGAGGATGCTGTAATTACAATACCAAATGATTCAGCAACATCATTTTTAAAGTTTAGCAGTTTGATGACATTGAATCACACGCAATTACTTTTAAATGAACTTAAACTTTTAAATAAATTTAAATTGTTCTTAAATCTGACATAAACATGACTATTTTTAAATACAGAACAGAGGAACTTGGGCCCTTCTACTCTCGGGACGAGACAGATCATTCTGCGCATGCGCAAGATTCTCTCTCGCTCTCTCTCTCTCTCTCTCTCTCTCTCTCTTCCAAATCTCTCTCTCTCTCTCTCTCTCTCTCTCTCTCTCTCTCTCAGACGCGCACGTACGCGCGCACGCACACAAACACACACGCAGACACAAACACGCGCTCACACGCGCGCGCGCATACACACACTGGTCTCTCTTTCTCTGGTTGGGAAAAACCCGAGCTGGAGGAGAACCGGTATCCAGAAAAAGGAGGACTCCTTCCTCCGCTTCAGACACGGTAGCAGAGCCATTTGGAGAAATATATTAAGCAAAAAGGAAATTAAAAAAATAATAATAAAAAAGTCCACACGCGCTGCGGAAGAGAAGAAGCAAAAGGCGGATGTGCCTCCGAACGCGCCGCGGATGCCGCCCTCCGGACCCCCTTAATGCCAAGATTGTAAGTATGTGATCTGCTGAGAGAGGGGCGAGCGAGCGGTGCGGGGAAGGGCAGCCAGGGAGCGAGCGGTGCGGGGCCGGGACGGGCTCCCGGTCGGGGAGGGGGGCGCGGTGGTTTCGTATCAATGCTGCGGTGTGTGGCGCGTGCACGAAAAGGTCGCGTTGAAGTGATTCCTCGCCCACTTTTGCTTCCTTGATTCCTTCCGAAGAAGGCGGGAGCAATGGCGACCCAAGCGAGCCTTTGTAGACTTTCTGTGTCCTTCTTCCAGGTGTTGTCATTGATTGAACATGTTGAGGTTACCTGGACAGACAGCACACAGAAGAGAAAGGCATCTGAAGTTGTCACACTAGTTAAGTGACAGTTTTGGTCACGTTTATGCAGATGTTCCAGTCAGACTAGCATGAAGGATTTCTCAATGTCCAAAACTTAACTTGGAATCTGTGACGTCTTGCTGTTCTTTGTCACACCTGATTCTGGCAGATATGTACAGGAAGGATATAACTGCACACGTATCAACTATTCACTACGTTTTATTTCATGTAAGTAAGTAAGTAAGTAAGACCATTTTTTTGATCAGGAAAATGAAACGAGACTGCATTTTCTATCTGTCATTGTGTTTTAGAGAAATAAGTTCGTAAATAAATTGTCTTGAAATGCCCCTTTTTCATCTGCAATATGTATTTGCCTCCTTTCGCCATGTCTTGTAACATCAGCGAAGGAGCTGGAGACAATTAGTAGATGGCAAAATGCAGCTTATAACGTCCCAAAACTGCTCAATTTTCTGCTAAATTTATGTGACCATCTATACTTATGTCCACTTTAACCTCTGAAAATATCAAAACAATAACCCTGTCCTTAGGGGTTACTAATAGAGAATGAGGAAATTAGTCGCTTAATGGGATGCTTACGTCCCATGGTGGGCGAAGCTCGTACCTGAAAAATATTTTTCAATGGCGGGTTGCTGACAGATTTTTGGAGCTTCATACCACCTCGATCAAAGGGGGTGCCACAGCAACGAAGCTGTCAGCGTTTGGGGACTATCATTTAAAAATTTTCAGTGACTGGGTGATGGGGCTACTTGGGTTAGCCACCCTGTCCCCCCCCCCCCCGCCCCCACAGAATGCCCAACATGGCCAAGCAGAGCCATTATATAATATTAAACAAGGCTTGCACAGGCAAGAATAGATGATGACATGATGGATTTGCTTTATTTTTGATGGTACCAAACCTTATTTTCAAACCTTTTTTCCATTATTTTCCCCCCAGAATTAACTTGTAAGAAGTAATCAAAATGAAGAGGGGGGGGGTGGTTCTGAAAGAAGTGCTTCTTGGAAAAAGTATGCTTCTTGGAAAAAGTATGCCCTTTGTCAAAACATGCCGTTAACATTTTTTAATGGGAAGTAAAGTCGCTCTTTGTTATTTGAAACATACTTGCCAAAAGGATCAGTAAAGACACTAAACTAGCTGCTCTGTTCGCAGCCATGCTGTTATATCAGCAGTGCACATAAGCGAGGATGCACTTTGAATGAATGTAAGGCAGTCAAGAATAGGTAAAAATAAAAATCATTCGGAGCCATGAACTGAAGTTAATCACTTAATTCACTTAAAACGCAATTAATCAATTCAAGCTTGTTATTTGCCGACCTTCATAAGCTTAGTTGCTGCCTGGTTAGTTACTAATTAACTTATCTTTGAATATGTTTTCCCTCTTAATATTAACAACTTAGAATACAGTTTCCAAAGTTTCAAAACAAACAACCTGAGGTCAACAGCGTCAAAACTTGCCATGTTGTATAATGGGTTGTTTTGACTTGTGCTGTTCAGCAACTTGCTCATGCAGTGCAGGAGGTCCGTATGTCTTATTGTGACAACAGTTTTGTTGTATGCCAGACCTGTCTGGCATACTCTACATGTCATAGTGTTGGAATTTACAGTACTGTATTTGGAATGTCACAGGACCTTATGTGGTTGAGAGGGAGAACGAGAATTACGAGAAGAAACGCAATAGCAGAGGTCAAGAAAGCAATAAAACCTGAAAATATACTGTTTGTGGTTTCAGAAGGAATAGGCAGAAAAAAAGAGGGAACAAAGCAAACAGTAGCAAAAGAAAACAATAGCCACCCAAACAACTGTTGGTCCTTGGTTTGCAAGAGGACGGACCGAGAGAAGAGATACCCCACAAGAAATAACAATATTTCTGATTTTTAGTTTTAGATGGGACAAACAAACCTGAGATTTGTCGCAACAAGGTTATGTTGTGTCGTCGCAAGTCTCGAAGCAATGGAGATGTACTGGATTTCACTACAGTGAGGCTACCTAAATGTCGAAGATACTGGGAGAAAGAATGAGCATAATATTGTATATCTGCATTTCTGTGCCTTTTACTTGTGAGGTGCAAGAAGAATAAAGTCAAATCTAATCTATTAAATACAACAGCGACACCACAGAGTCGTGTTAACATGAGTGAGATTGCCCAGGCTGTTGAAGTTAGTGCTTTGCTAACTTGGGTACCTTGTTAGCATTTATTGTCATCTGCTGGTCTGACTGTCACCAGACAGCTTTCATGTTTTTACATGCTCCTTTCTGTACAAGAATCATGAATTTATTTTTGTACACTTGGTTTATCTAATTAAATGTGATGTTCAGCTTGGAGCCTCAAGATTTGTTTACCGCCCGGGCCCTTTATATTCGGAATAAACTACACTGAAATTTGAACAACATTCCTGACGAAAAATATCCAACCAGTCTTCTTAAGTTAAAAAGATTATATTAACGAATTAACCTTGGCTATTGTTAAAAGGATCCCTCACTTTGAGTTGGTACCTCGAGAGACACCCGAGCCTCAGCATTCCCGAAAGGGCTGACGCTGTTTCTTTTGGGTTGGTAAATCAGACCAGAGAACAGAACATGGCAAATCATGAATGATCTCAAGCAAAGCTGACTAGCCTTGTCATAGAGCGTCGCATTACGTTTAATCAGTCTGGCTTTGCGGGTGACGATAAATACAGTGGCACGCTTGACACCGCTCATTGCATTGGAGAGCAAAATTGTTGGCAGAGCTCCCAATATAATCCCAAATTCACTTACTTCTCTGAACATGCAGTGAAAAAAGATGTATGATGTACTGTACGTTTTTCTTTTTAATTCAAATATTATGTCAAATTATAATCATTGAAATTGTATTAAGACCATGTTTCTGCTCTCATATTGGAGATGTTACTCAATGAACACTCTCAAAATTGCATTACTGTAGATCTTTGTTAAAATAATGTATGAAGGAATTATTTATTTGTGTCGGTTTTAGGATAGGGGCGTAACACAAAGCGATTTGCATCAGAAAATCGGTTTTGGTTTGATGAATCGTATCGTTAAATTTTTAAATCGTTGCATCCTTGAATCGTACGCACCCCATTTATCGAGATAGGTTGAATCAATTTTTTATTTTTATATTTTTTAAATGAGAGAGTCGCACCAAATAAGAATCCATTTGATATTATGGATGATTTTGAAGTGTATCATACACCTCATCTTTTTTTCTTTTCGCCATCTTATTCGTCGAAGGATTAGCTTTGAGCTAATGACTGAGCGGGTTAATTCAAAAGGGGGCGTTTATCTGTTACCCGACGTAGGCCAGTATCATCCAATTGCAGCAAACTGCAGCCCTGAACAGGACACGAGCAGTGAAAAGTCGATGGATGGATTAAACAAGCAACAATATTTTGTTTTATCTGCGAACCAGATGCAATCATCAAAAGAGCCATATCTGGCTCGCGAGCCATAGGTTCATGACCCCTGCTTTAAGTGTAGGTTTTGACTTTATAGTAACCTTGCAGGTGGTTGATGGCATGTTTATATATAAACTGACACTGAAGCTCACAGTTGTGGCCTTATTTTTGTATGTAAAAGGGAATGCAACATCGCCTTTTGTGATGGTGTTCTTCGTAGCGCAAGACTTCTCAAATTGGACAGATTCAGTTATTATAAACCTCTTTCGAAGTGGAAAATAAAAAGACTTCAAAGCATAAACTTCAATCATTATCGGAGATGTTCATATATTCCATGAAACACACCCTCCAGACTCAATCTGTATGTAGTTGGATATAATTTATATATCTACCACTGACTTGTTTGTATTCACTTGGTAAAAGTTACAATGTGCGACTTTTATTGTATTGGAGAGATACAGACTCGGTATGCTGGTCTCGCTGTCAATTCTGGCACTTGAAACGTGTATCTGTTGCCGGTCGCCAGTCTCTTTAAGTTCGCTGAACAGCAGAATTGCATAAACAAGCAATGAAATAAGACGAAAACAGAACCGTTGCGTTGTTAGCCGAAAGCACAGTTGCAGCGGCTAGCATTATTGCTACTTGGCCATTAATAGGGTTACTTTGAACTGATGTGCCTCATTAAGTAATGAGAAAAATTTGTGAGTGCTTATGAAGTGATGGGAAACACGTGGATTGAACTGAAACAGTCGAGTTGAACGGTTTCATCGGGTTTCAAAAGCCGAAATCATATCTATCCAGAAGAGGGAACCAAGTAGCAACTGAATGTTGACGTTTATGAACAAATGCATATAAATAACCATTTATCGAGTCAGAAGAAAACTATCGTGTTCATTTTTGCTCATCAACTGTCGATACAGTAATAATCGTGACAGGCCTAACTGTATTTATACGTTTGAACAACAAATAGTGCCGAGAATCACTTCAAGTTTTACTTTTTTTTCCCTCTGTACCTGGATACTGTCTGCTTGCACCACCAGTGACATCTGTTTTTTTGCCCTAGCTTTAGCACATGACACTGTGCTCTGCTCTTCTGTCCACCTCGTGATGAATGCCTCATATTCTGTGTTGTGGTCTAAACTTAGGCTTTCACAAGGTTTGTTGTGTTGCCACAACTCCCTACAAACACCATAAAGCGCAGCTTGGCTGTTTATGGAGTTGAAATGGCTCCTCTCATGACTCAGAATACGCTTTGCCATTGTCTATTGAGTGACTAACTTACTGAACAGGGTGCTGCTGCACTTATGCGTTACATACTGTCCTTTCTATGAATCACATATCGTTTAGATATGTCATGAGTGCAAGACGGCAGTGGACCCAAAAAGCAGGGAGGCAGGGTGTACTAAACCATTCATTCATTCATTCATTTTCCGATCTGCTTATCCTCACAAGGGTTGCGGGGGGTGGTTCTGGAGCCTATCCCAGCTGTCTTCGGGCAGTAGGCAGGGGACACCCTGAACCGGTTGCCAGCCAATCGCAGGGCACACCGAGACGAACAACCATCTGCGCTCACACTCACAGGGACAATTTTGAGTGTTCAATCAGCCTCCATGCATGTTTTTGGAATGTGGGAGGAAACCGGACTACCCGGAGAAAACCCACGCAGGTCCGGGGAGAACGTACAAACTCCACAGACGGAGGACAGAGCTGGAATTGAACCCGGTACCTTTGCACTGTGAGGTCGACATGCTTACCACTGGACCACCGGGCCGCCCGAGGGGTATACTAAACCAAAACACAAAAACGCAAACAAA